TAAACGAAGACTCTGGAAACTAGTTTATATGAAGTTTTTTTATTATTACTATGCATGGAATCTTATCCCATTTTTTTGCAAAAAAAAATCCTGTGAAAGTTTGAGCTCTTAATATTAATATTAAGAGGTGCCGCATCGAAAATTTCAATTTCCCATTTGATTAACATGGGAAATTTTTTATTTCGAACTTTGGAATTTATTAACTCTTTAACAAGTCATCGGACTAGTTGAGGCAGAACATGTTTTTGTAGAGAATTGAACGCTCTACAAAAAAAGTCTCTTATAATTTTTTGATATATTTACCTTTTCAAAAGTTATTTAACGCTAAAGATGGATTGATTTAAAATTTTTAGATTTTTCCAATTTTCCGACGCAACCATCAACTTTATGAGAAAATTTAATAGGACTTTTTTTGTAGAATATTCAATTTTCTATAACTTATTTTTTAAAAATCTATAGATGTATACACTTTAAAACAAATGGGTCACATGTATAAATAGGTATACATATACAGGGTGTCCCGAAATTAGGGGGCCAAACTTAAACAGTGCATTCTTCATAGAAAAGTAACACTTTTTTGTTAAATGAACATGTATCAAAAAATGCCCCCTAACGGAGCTCATGAAATGATGATAATGATTAAACCATTATACCAAAAAATTATAATTTGGCGTTCTTATTTTAAAGTTTTAGTTTAACAAATACCCGAGCAAATACATGGTAAACACAAATCAATTTGTAGAAATGTACTTTTAGACATACCTACTTATTAGCGGTACGGAACCGCTTGGGAAAGGCTTTAATATTATAAAACAAATAAGTACCTAAAAAGTTTTAACTAATAACATTTGGTTAATTTAAATTTAAAAGCATGTTATTTATTTCCTTATATCTATATCTATAGGTGACTATATAAATTGACATTACAAGAAGGTAGGGAAAGGCACCAGTAATTGCCACTGTACCAGTAGTTGCCATTTATTATTTAGAAATTCAAAAACAAAACCATATGCAAAATCTGTGTATATGGCGCACTCCCTATGTGTAAGGAAGTGTATCTAGTGTACTATGTATTTAGAACAACTGTCACCAGGTGGCGCATTTTTCGTCAGGAAAAAAATATTCAGGCAACTTGTTGAATCAGCTGTTTATAAAAGATTTCTTGTGACTTTGGTTAAGAAAGTGTAAGATTAGTTTTTCGTAATATTGGCATATGTTGTAAATCAATTTAAGTTTTTTTGTGCAATAGGCATATATGCTAAGTAGTTTAAATGAAACGCATATAAATTGTTCGTTAAATTAAAGGAGTATTTTGATTTAGAGTAGTAGCAATTAGGGATGCACCGGAATTCCGGCGGTACCACTAAATCCGGCCGATCCGGCCAGTTGGCCGGAACTACCGTTCCGGCCGGATCGCTTCGGCCGGATCGCTTTCCGGCCGGATTTTTCGGAACTTTTTGGAAATGTTTAAGTTTTAAATTTTTAATATAATTTAAATTCAAATAAAAAAAAATAAAATAAAGAAAATTATTTTAAGTTTTTTTTTAAATTGGTGCCTACTTACCTATTGTTAAGTCGTTAATTAATCACAAATAATTTTTTTTTGGACAAAAATTATTTTTTTTTCAAGAATTACAAAACATAAATAATATCTGAAAGCATTATTAACAGCCAAATTCTAACAGCAAAAATAACAGCCAAATTCCCTGTCATGGATAAGTCTTATATGTAAGATAAGTATACAGTTTACATGAAAAATTACAGTGAGAAACTGTGATTCCCTGACTTTTGCGTCTGGGATGCCCCGATTTTCGACCAGATATATTTTGTAATTGGTCAACAGTGAAGGGTGTGCGTGTTTCCTTGCCTATGATAGACCGGCGGCTGTGGTTTTTAATTTTTTTATTATTGGCAGGTGGCTGCTATTCTCCAATTGAATGAGTATAATTGTTTTAATTTTGTTAACGCTAATTAAAAATTAATATTTAAATAAACAGTAATTTCTATCTAGGTAAAATTAATAGTAATAAACAGCTAGTTAAAAAAAAAAGTAAAAATAAATCAGCCTCAATATTTTCAATGTTTTACGTAAAAAAAAGGCATGCACATACATTTTAAATTTAGGTCCCGATCCGGCCGGAATTCCGGCGATCCGGTCCGGCCAGCGGCCGAAATTCCGGTTCCGGCCGGATCGGCAAAATACCCGATCCGGTGCATCCCTAGTAGCAATACTGGAGCATTTTTTTTCTTTTAACCCAATATTTGTCATTTGTGGTAATTACCTACTGGAGAATTTTGGATTATCGTATTATGACCTTTATTAAAGCTCTAAATTAACCTATAATATTTAGTTTATCCTTGACATTAATAAGAACATTATATTCAAAGAGAATCCAGTAATTTCCACCTCTTTTTGAATGTGTCAATTATTGGTTCACTTTAGTGGCAATTATTGATCCAGGCTCGGATCCAGGTATAAAATCCAAATTGATCAACATGGAACCAAAAAACAAGCCCTTTTTTCGCTATTCCCAAGAAAGCAAAGAATCTGCATTGGCCAAGGTGGTATGCCATTTTTCAATTGTTTTGTTTTATTTAATAAAATAAATTAGTGGCAATAACTGGCCAGGTACTCTGGCAACTACTGGTTTTTTTTTTACCTCAATAAAAAAATATATATTGTACTTAGTGATGTCTTTAATTTCTATAAGTATCTATTAACCACATGGCTTTTTATTAAGCCGAAATCTAAATTTCTTCTGGTACTTTTTTTAGCTATTTTGTGTAAACACTAGCTTATAATGGCAATTACTGGTGTCATTACCTTTCTAATAAAATTTGGTCAAAAGTATTTGAACAATTTCAATATTGCATGGAATTATAAATATATTTTTATAAAAACAAATAAAATATTGTGAAGCAGATAAGAGAGGAAATTATAAACTACAAAATAAGAGTGGAAACAACAAAAAAATGTAAACTATAATAATTTTACCTAATTTATAGCCGAATTGCAGTTTCTAAAGCATGGTAATGAAAAATTGATAATGGTTTGATGAATTATTGGTTTGGTAATTTTTTAAATAGCAACATTACTTACCTAATTATTGGTACCTATACTTCAGTTATCAATTTTTTATTTCGTTACTTATCATTACTAATAGTAATTTATTACTAATGCTTAACGTATAATGTACCTATACCAGCATTTATTAAAAATTTAATATTTTTGTTTTAATTACCTACCAGACCTAAAAAAAAGTAATAGTGACAATACAATCTTGAACTAAAGTAAAATTAGCTTGAATTGAAAATTATAGTGTGTGACATCATTTTACAATCCATCCAATTATAGAATTGCCTGTGCCTTAAGTTTTTCGCTCTGTAGTTTTCTTTAATTTTTATTTAGTTAAAATTAACAAAATACATTATAATAATTAAATATTTTAATCCTTGCCAATGCTTTAAAATGAATTTTTCGATATTTTAGAAGAAAATGCAAATTTATATTTATATTTTAAACAATTTTTATTTCGGACACAATATTTTCATACGAAATGTATGGGATATTTAATTAATTTAATAAGCTTAAATGAAAATTACCCACCTATTTTATTTACATTCCATATTCTATAGAATATGGAATGTAAATAAAATGTTCTTGCATAAATCAGGCCATTATTGAAAATAAAAAGAATAAAATATGAAAGCAAATGAAAAAATAAAAGTTTACGAAATCGATGTTGTTCAGTGGTAATTCTCTGAAACAGGTAATGTTCAGGAAAAAATAATTTAAAATCTACCAAGAGGTAAGTACGACCCGATTTCTTAAAGAGATACCTAATAGTATATTATGTATCAAGTTTTATAAATGCCATGCCAATTTTACTTGTTAAACATTTTACATCTCTCAAATGTTAAGGAATTTAACCTCACTTTTCCCGAATTCATAATAAAGCTTACTTAAGCCTGTGACTAAAATGCTTTACAGCCACTATTGCTAACTTCAGCCCGTGACTAAAACGCCATAGGCACAGCTCGTCAATGTAGGAGTAGATAAATGTTTTTATTCGTTTTTATTTCGCTTTTAATTTTTATTATCACTCCGTTTCCTTCAGAAAGCGTACAGCTAATACGTTTAGGTACTTTATATTATAAAATAAGTAGGTATTTACTATAACCTAAGTACCTACCTACATATTAAAAAAAGATTGTATTAGTGTATTTACAAAGGCATGTTCTTGTTATTTAAAAAAGAACCGTGTGCAATAAGTTATGCATTTTAGTTTTCTCATCTTTAGAATTTAAACATAATATAACTTTACAGTGTTACCTAATTAAGTAGCAATTCACTTGTAATTAAAATAAATTGTTATTCGTATCAGATGCGGGGGTCTAAATACAGTGGCGGATACTCGGGCGGATATAAATTTTGACAATGCCCAGGCATATTTATAATCTGCGTTATAGAAGAAAATAAATAAATTTGTATGGATATGGCATAATGAAATATACCACATTAATATCAGCTGTTGGATAAACAACAAATAAGAGAGATGAGTTTGATATAGTTGACAAATGTATTTTGTAAACATTTTGACATTAAAAATAAAACTTTAAACCATTAAAACCTGGATATACCTACCAAATTTTAACCTTTTCTTGTTTGAACATTAGATACCTATGTAGGTATTTGTTTTCCATCCTTAAATTTTAAAGTCAAAAACTACTAAGAAAATTCATTTAACTTTTTGCAAACCAAATTTTTTCGTTAACATGAATTTATTCATTAATGTTATATGTAGGTACCTAACAAACCTTTTAAATTAGGAGTGGGTTTCAATTAAAACAAAGGTATAGCCACCAGCCAAATACCTATACAAATGAATTGGACTGGCAAAGAACAAAGAACAGCCTATTTGACGGGGTGCTGCTTGATTTACCTACTTAACTTTTTGGCTATGGAGCTATAAAAAACGAATGGAGGAATATACACATACCTTCAGCAAGTCTTCTGTTGGGCCCTCCAAAATAGGTGGCAGCGGAGCCCGTCGGAGGTCTTTTCCAGCCCCTCCAATTATTGCAAAGGCTCTCGGGCTCGGAGCTCCAGCTGCACAGAGAGTCTTCTTCAAAACGATCCGAATCCTCGAAACTGAACCTGTCGACCTCCTCCCAGTCGAGCATCGCAGCAGCCGCCGCTGCCTCGTCGCCTCCATTACCGCCTCCCGCCGCAGCAGCCAGGATTATTCCTGTCACCACAGAACAACAAAACACCAAAAGAAATACGATTGCCGTAGACAAAGGACACGCGGATTAACACTACTTTTTTAGTTAGACATTTCTTCGACCGACTGCTCTGTGGCCCCACAAACTCAAACACAAAGGGTTTTCACTCACAACTCAATTGCAATTTTGCATCGAGACCTCCCCCATTCAACGACATAAACAAATATGGCGACTTACTGACGGCCACAGAACACTGATACAAACTCCTCCGTCACTCGGTCCACTGGTGGCCCCGCACCGTCAAGATAACTCTCTCCAGTGTTGCCAGCACTTGCCGAAAAAAGTCCCACCTTAAACGGTACAATTTTCCAAACACAACGTAAAAAACTTTTTTAATACTACTATAGTACCTACCTACATAGGTATTTTGTTTCCCTAAAAACCGTCTTATTTGTAATTTGTTTACCTATATTTAAACCCCTACAGCGCACAGTGGATCGAGCTCATATATGTTAGTGGACATACAGCAATTATGCAAAATTACTAACTTGATATCATTTTTTTTTAAATGTCTCCCAAAAACTTCAAATTTGTTAAAAATAAGCATAACAATTTTTTTTGGCAACATACTAAACAGTACAGAAGGCGTTTTTCGTAAAGAATGTTTTTTGTTATTTTCCTTATTAAACTGACTATTACAAATTAAACAGCATAACTTCATACCTTAACAAAAACTTATATATTTTTTTATAGTTTTATTTTATATGATAACTAAGCTTGCAAATTGCCCGGTTAACTTAATACCAACACGTATTTAGTAACAATAATTTTTAAAATTTTATTGTTATACAATGCGTTACACAAATCTAAACTTTATCTTGAGTTTTAAAAAAATGCTTAAATATGCATAAACTTCTTTTATGGCTGTTATGGAGTTCAAAGGTTATTTAAAACAAATGTACAGAGATTTGCCGCCACAAGGCGCCACTTTGGAAAATATAGATCATAGAGTGTCATGGAGCATATAGACCAGTGCAGAAGCCTTTAAAAATGGTAAAAAGAGAAAAAATGCAGTAGGATGAAACCCATTGGAAAAGGAGGGGAATATAATAAAAATTAAAGGAAAAATAAATTACGGGCGATCTGAGTGGGAGGGGGGGGGCTTAAGGGTAAAAAATGGTTTATCTTGATTTCCGGCAAAACTACAAGTCCTATGGAAAAAAGTTAAATGTCAAAGTTGTAGGTAATAAAAAGATCTACAACTTTTGTATTTACAATTTTTTCACATAACCTTAAAATTTATGTGAAAAATTCAAAAAACCAAGTTTTTGGTTTTTTATTTTTATCTTTTTCAAAAAAAAATTTTTTTTCCACGAAATTTGGTGAAAACTTACCTTTTTATGTCCTAAATACACTTTAATTTATTTGATTTGAAATATTTATTATTTTGCCTTATTTTGACTTAATATCAAAAAAGCACCCTAATTTTCAATCGAAAATTCTCGCATCAAAATATCAGCTTTTTTCAAAAAGTCGGTGTGCTTTTTGTTCGATGAACTCTCTACTTTCTGATGGTGTAAAAAAAATATACATTACTATGGTGAATGTTCTCAGAAAATACAAAAAATATAATGAATAACGTAATCAGAATGAAGTATCTAATTAGATTTAAATTCAATAGTATGATTTACATGTATTTTTATATTTTATGAGATTTTCTGACATAAATGTTATTAGAATTTAATAAATAAACTTTTTAACTAAAAAAAATTGCAACAATCACAGTTTTTTTCATGAAATTGTACATAATGATTAAAATAAATTTTCGAATTCGAGTTTTTTTCGTTATTCATTATAATATTTTTTGCATTTTCTGAGAACATTTACCATAGTAATGTATATTTTTTTACACCATCAGAAAGTAGAGATTTCAACAAACAAAAAGCACACCGACTTTTTAAAAAAAGCTGATATTTTGACGAGAGAATTTTCGATTGAAAATTAGGGTGCTTTTTTGATATTAAGTCAAAATAAGGCGAAATAATAAATATTTCAAATCAAATAAATTACAGTGTATTTGGGACATAAAAAGGTAAGTTTTCACCAAATTTCGTGGAAAAAAAATTTTTTTTTGAAAAAGATAAAAATAAAAAACCAAAAACTTGGTAAACCTTTTCTATAGTGGACCTTGGTGTATTAAAACGCCTTGTATATCAAGTAACTAGACTTTATATTTACTTTTGTAAATAACAACGTTATTTAATTGATAAGTATTTATTTTAAACCTAAAATGTCCTCATCTTCTCACACTTTGGTGCTATGTCCACAAATTCCTATCTATCGATCCACTGTGCAGCGTGGCATCCGTTAGTTTTTTGTTCTGTGGATTGTGCTTTAACCCATGCTATTACCGTTGACTCAACGGCGTTGAGTAATCCATGCTATGACATTGTCAAATTGACAGCAAAAATAAGAAAAATAAACTTTGAAAAAATTGTATGTAGGTAATTCACATTCTATCAAACCAACTAACCAAACAACATTTCAATTATTATTATTAAAGGTATACCTACTAGGTAGGTAATATAAATATTTATGTGGCATCTTGACGACTTAAAGTCGCTGGTTTGGTGCAAGACTATCCTATGTCCATGTTCAAAGAATTGGAGAAAAACAATATTAAACATTTCTATTTATTGTAACTAAATTGTTTTTTGCGTCATTCTTTAAAAAATTGGAAGGTTTTACATCCAAAGATTAATAAATAAATACAAATTATGCAAAAAACAATTTAGTTACAATAAATATAAATGTTTAATAGTGTTTTTCTTTAATTCTTTGAAAATGGACTTGGATAGTCTTGCACCAAACCAGCGAAGTTATAACATGTTTGACAATATATATGTTTTATACATAATAGGTATAAGTATAACTATAATGTATAGCTATAACTATTATACTAGGTATTTTACTATAAGTATACTATAGGTACTTACTATTTGCTAGTTGGAAAATTGTGTATATTTTTTATAGGTACCTACTAAAAATAACCAACCTAGAGCTTGGCCAGCGTGTTCGGTCAAAAATATTTTAGCTAACAATTTCCTAGTTTTTTATCTTTGTATTTTTGCTAAAATTATCAGAAAATCAAAACAAATTCCACGATTTGGCAACACTGACTCTTTTTCTCTCTCTATAGCAAGCACTCAAGCTAACTCTATCTCTTTCTTCGCACTCGCTGCTCCACACCTAACGCCATCTTTTTGTTTCCCATCAAACAGCCCGCAAAACTCAATAATTTTTCAATACTTATTATTTAAGCAATAATATTTGGTAAAACCATAACTTTATAATTATTTGTACAAAATCTGTTTCACTTTTAATTTAAAAAAACGTTGAATATACAAATATTAATTTTTAAAACAAAAAAAATTAGGTTGTCACACTGTAAACTTTTAAGTTGGCGGCTCTGTATTTTGACAACTGCTGTGAAAATGTCATTTGAGTTGTAAATTTTGCAATTTTATTAGAAAACCATTACAAATGGCTCATATTTGCGGCCCAGAAGTAGTAAAATATGCCTGCCATTGCGGCTTATTAAGATCCATCTCCCAACTTTACTTCTGCAGGCATTGTTCCAAAGTGCGGTGCAGTTTTTGTGTTTGTCATGAGGTAATTTTTACATTTTTCTACAGAACTATGATTATATATTTGTTTACATTATTCTGCGTAGTATTACTTTTAAGTGTTAATTGTTCTAATTTGTTAAACAAGTGATAACAAAATCTGTGTGGAAACTTTGTATTTAAGTTTCATCTTTTAATTAACCACTGGGTCATAGGTAACTATAGTTACATATATGTGGATTTATACATTGGGTAATAAATCCTTATAAACGAAATGTAAATTCCATCAGATATGAGAACTATTTTTTTTATATCTATTTCCTGCTCATTGGTAATAAAATCAGCAAAATGCATGACACAAATTTGTTAGAAATATAGTAGAGCCTTCACCTATGTGCTATTAATACGACTATTCCACTCATTACTCTATGGACCAATCAGATTTCAGAAAACAAGTGGTTTTTTCAGTTTTGCAGTAATAAAACTACTATTTAGGTGACAATATAATTCATTAATATTAGAACCAATAAAATGCCAGTATTCCATAGTGACGTAATTTATCACAGCGGCAATATTTTTTATCATCTTGTTTACACGTTACTATGAATTTTGACGTTTTTTTGATTTGACATTTGTTGTCATTTAAATTCTGTTTTTGATATATATCAATAAAATAATGAATTATAAACTCTAAAAGATCGATGGGTTGGTGTAAACGATAATGAAATTAAGGTAAGTTTGAATAAATAAGGTTTATTAAAGTCTTTTTATATTTTAAAGCACATTTTAATTTCAAATGTCAAACTAAAAATTCGTTAAAACCTAAAATTCATTATATTTTCTCACTAAATATAACTCGTGGTATGATTAATTATCGATGATATTTACTCATTAAAACCGAAGCAGCACATTTCACTCGTCCTGCGGACTCGTGAAATCTGCAGCTCGGTTTCAATTCGAAAATATCATCGATGATAATCATACCACTTGTTATATTATGGGTGACTATTTCCTCGTCTTAATTTCCACCAATTAAATGGCACAATTTTGAATTACAAATGGTTTCTAGGTGAAAAGACTGTTTGACAGTACCTGTCAGCAGTTTACCAGCGGCAAAACTGTATGACAGCACCTGTCAGCAGTTTACCCGCGGCAAAACTTTACAGCTGTTGTCACCAAAAATTGCAATTTATATTTTAATTGTTAACTGTTACTCATGAAATAGTCTTGTCAAATACCATTCGGGCAACTAATTTTTCCTGTGAAAAAAATCGAAAAAACACAATGGGGTCATTCCACGTTACTCGGGGATTTTTGTCCCGCCCGTCACAATTAAAAATTGTGAGTAAAAACTACATGTTATAAAATTTATTTTAAAATATTGTTTATTATGATTTTAATAAGTTATAAGCACAATAAAAATAATATTATAAAATATTAATTTAATAACTTGTGGTTTTTACTAGGGATGCACCGGATCGGGTATTTTGCCGATCCGGCCGGAACCGGAATTTTGGCCGCTGGCCGGACCGGATCGCCGGAATTCCGGCCGGATCGGGACCTAAATTTAAAATGTATGTGCATGTCTATTTTTATACGTAAAATATTGAGGATGATTTATTTTTACTTTTTTTTTAAACTAGCTACAGTATGTATGTTTATTACTATTAATTTTACCTAGATAGAAATTACTGTTTATTTAAATATTAATTTTTAATTAGCGTTAACAAAATTAAAACAATTATACTCATTCAATTGGAGAATAGCAGCCACCTGCCAATAATAAAAAAATTAAAAAGAAGTCGGGGAACCACAACCGCCGGTCTATCATAGGCAAGGAAACACGCACAGCCTTCACTGTTGACCAATTACAAATTATATCTGGTCGAAAGTCGGGGCATCCCAGACGCGAAAGTCGGGGAATCACAGTTCCTCACTCTAATTTTTCATGTAAACTGTATACTTATCTTACATATAAGACTTATCCATGACAGGGAATTTGGCTGTTATTTTTGCTGTTAGAATTTGGCTGTTAATAATGTTTTCAGTTATTATTTATGTTTTGTAATTCTTGGAAAGAAAATATATTTTGTTCAAAAAAAATTATTTGTGATTAATTAACGACTTAACAATAGGTAAGTAGGCACCAATTTAAAAAAGCCTTAAAATAATTTTCTTTATTTTTGCATATATTTGAATTTAAATTATATTAAAAATTTTAAACTTAAACATTTCCAAAAAGTTCAGAAAAATCCGGCCGGAAAGCGATCCGGCCGGAACGGTAGTTCCGGCCAACTGGCCCGATCGGCCGGATTTAGTGGTACCGCCGGAATTCCGGTGCATCCCTAGTATTTACTCACAATTGTTAATTGTGACGGGCGGGACAAAAATTACTGAGTAACGTGGAATGCCCCAATGCTAGGTAAACGTCCCAATTATCGACACCTTAAGAGATTTTTCTAAATCATATCGTTATAAAAATTTGCATATTAAAGTTACACTTTTAACAATTTTACTGCGGATTGTTATAATATTGATTATTGCTTTGCAATGTTTATTTTTTAAATAATTGCATTTGTTAATATTTTTTAACAAAATGCATTTGTACAGGTGCAAAAATCCTCCCAGCACTCATGCTTCTTGTTAAAATATTACTTGGCAACGTGTTTTTTTGATTTTTTTTTGGAAAAATTAGATGCCCTTATAATATTACTTACGAAAAAACCAATCGTTTATACGAGTTGCTAAAAATAATTGTCACTGTTGACATTTTTAATTTTAAAATTAAAATGTTAAAAATTTGCGTTTTGGTCAAAAGAAACATACAGAAATTGAATCAGCAGTTCGTGAAATAGTCTTGCCGAATACCACTCGTGATAACATTTTCCCTGAAAAAATTTTTGATTTTTATTTACTCAAGAAATTTCCAAGAGAAAAACATTTGTGTAAAAATCAAAAATTTTATCGGTAAAATTTTACCACTAGTGGTATGTATATACAAATAAACTTCTCCATCTTTTAAACTGTAAATTGTAAATTTGTGTATTTGAAGTTTTTGTTTATAATAAATCTTGGACACCAATACTAAGGTGTATTCAAATCCAAGCTGGACTAAACAAAAACGCCCAGACGCATGATAACTCGTTCTTATTGGTCGATTCTGATGGTGTGACTCGGATTGTCGATTTGATTTGACATTCGGAGGATTGTGTTTACATTTAGTCCAGCTTGGATTTGAATAGACTTTAGGTCAAAATTTGAAAATCCCCAGCCAACTATGTTTTTTTATTTATTTTGTCAAGATTGAGGCCTTTTGGTACCAGATACGTCAAAAAGTTATTTAGAAAAGTAGGTAGTTTGAAATCATAATCAAGGCCGTATTCCAAATTCTTTAATTTAAGAAATAAACAAAAAAAAAGTGAGACATTAAAGATGGCCAAAGATTTTAAAATTTGGGATACGGATGTAGATTTTGATTTCAAGAAACTTTTCTAAATAACTTTGACGTATCTGTTACCAAAAAGGTACTATCTTGACACAATAAATGGAAAATCATAGTTGGCCGAGGATTTTCAAATTTGCTATATGGGTCTATATGATGATTCTAAACAACTTTTCTTTATAACTTTTGTTCATGTCACCAACATAAAAGGCACTTTACTAAATAGGTTTATTAAAAAGCAAGGCTGAACCATACCTTGAAGACTTAATCAATATGATTTATTAAAGGTTGATTCTATATTTTGCGGAAAATGCTCCGAGAATATCCCATCGGCAGAAGCTAGAGTGAAGAAAAATAGATGCAGCAACTGCCTGGTTTGCCCCAGCTGTCAGCAGGAGTTGTGGCCCAGAGTGGCAGCAACCAAAACATCTGCCAATCCTGATGAACCCAAGCAAGTTGTCAAAAAAATGCACTATTTACTTTGCCAGTTTTGTAGATGGAGTTCAAGGGATGTAGGGATTCCTGATCAATCAAGTGGTAAGCATCAAGATTTTATTATTTAGTGTGTTTTGATTAAAGTTTTTAGTTACTGGCTTTCCTGATAGGGAAAATGTGTATGCTAATCGTTTACAAGAAGTTCTTGATGCTTATAAAGCTGTAGTTTTGGCACAAAAGCAGGCAAAAGAAAATGAGAAGAAAAAGCAGAGAAAGAAGTATCTCAGCTACACTGTAAGTAACAATTGGCTGCATTACAAAGTTTGTTTATATATTTAATTATTTAGGACATTACTGGAGTTACTGCAGCAGCATTACGTAAAAGAATAGGCCTGCCAGCTGACAGGACACACCCTCTACTGAAAAATAAACCTAAAAAACCAGATAATGCAGTGGCAGTAGAAGAAGTTGATGATCTTCCAGAGGAGTTGTTTACTGAACCAGTAAACCTTCTTGAAGGTAAAGAATAAAGTTGTTTTCCAAACTTTTTACACTACAACTATTTTTATTTATAGTTACATCAGTTGATCAACGATTGTTGTATCCTGAAGCACAGCCAGTTAAAATGGACAAGTTGTTTCCAGTTCACAAACAGCTTTCCATTAAACGTTCTCTGCGCTGTAGAGCTTGTGAACACAATGTCAGCAAGCCAGAATACAACCCAAATTCAGTTAAATTTAAGATTCCTCTTTTTGCTTAGTAAGTGTGCATTTGAACAATCTTACACTTAAATTTTATATTATAATTTTATAGCTACCACATTCCTGATATAAGAATTGTAACTGTTGAACCACTAAGAGCTGGTCAAACTTCAGAACTTATTATTAAATTTACAAATCCCACTCAACATCAAACTGTGGTTTCGTTTTTGGAAATTGCATTGGATGAGCCTGAAGAGCCAGAGATAAAAGAGGTTGAGGAGACTATGGATTCTCTAAATATACAAGAGGTATTTAATTTTTAATTGTCAAACTTTGAGCTTAGCACAAAAAGCCTTACTTCTTAACCTAATGACATAAATAACTATTATATGGTCATTGAATTTAAACATTTTTTAAAAACTTTTTTATTGTTTCAAAATTAATGAATTACGTACTTTAATCAAGTAATCTTAGAAATTTATATTATACCAAAAAAACTTTATTTTTTGATTTAAATATGATTTTAAGGCAACAATTTTAAAATTTTGAAAATAATACTTATTGGCCATTTAATAGTATATTATGTATAAAGTGACCATTCGTCCCGGATTTTATCAACAAGTCCCGCAAGAGTAAACGTCCAGGAAAAGTCCCGGATTTTGTGGTTAATCATGTCTTTTTACGAAAAATCATAATTTCTTACACAAAGTAACAAATCTGACAAAAATAAAATAGTTACAAATTACTAATTGTGAAAAATGCGAATATTTTTTTTTCTGTTAGGTTTAGGTATAGGACATATATATATATATATATATATATATATATATATAAAATGAAAGGTAATTACTTATTCTATCCAATTATGCAAAAATATATAGGGTGTTCCATTAAAGAAAAACAAGATTTTAAACTTTTAAAATCGCTATTTCCAACGGGACATAGAAAACACCCTGAATGATATTTTCCAAAAAATATAATAATTAACTTATAGCTTACTTATTATTAAAGAGATGGATACTACATAATATAAAAAATAATAACTTTTAGTTGATTATTTTTAACTTTTAGCGAGTGTCTACATTTAGAGAAATTTTAGTAAATCTTAATTTTACTCAAAAAGTATTAACATTTTCTTAATTAATATATTTACAAAGTATACCTAAAAGAGTGGGTAGAATCCAAAAATGCAAAAAAATACAGGGTGTTCCATTGAAAATAAGAAAGTTGGTATCGTCCCAAGGAAAACCGAACACCCTGTATAAATGAAAATATAATATTTTAAAAATATTTTTTACTTCGTGAATATTTGTTTCTTACAAATTTTTTGTGACTCCAGTAGTTTCTGAGATAAGTATATGGGTCACCTTACGTGGACCACCCTGTACACACTTAACATTTACTATAAATTGTTATTTGTTTTTTAAACTATATTTCAACACACGCGAAAAAATAACACAACAGATTAATTCAAATTATAAAATTCACTAAACATTAAACACAACATAAATATACATAATAATTAATAAAAAAACAATGTTACTAGTTGTGGTAAATTTTTTTCAAGGGTTTTACAGCAGTATCTACGATAAATTAAGCAATTATTGTAAATTAATTTTATTTTTATATTGTATTTTGTATTATATCAGTATACTGCTATTTTTTTTGTATTGACGTGTTCCTTGCCCAAGTGGATTTTTTAAATAAAGATCATCGCGAGTACCAAAGCTTGACTTACTGCGCTTTTCCTTATATATTCAGTGCTTAAGTGACACTAGTCACGCAAGCGCCTTCTCGAACATTCCAGCGAGCTCCGGTGAGTTAATAAAAAAATAACAATCTAAAGACTAAAAACTGTGTTTTCTATTTAATTCAAATCTTGCGTTACTTCTGAGACACCTTTTATATAAAACATATTCTTATATATAGCAAAAATAATTTACGGACAAACGGCGCCTCATATAATTAAGTTATAAAATAAATCGTTTAGTTCGTTAATAAACTACTACGCTAATAAACGTTAGTAAAAACGTTACAATTGTATATTCAGTGCCTACGTCAAGCAAGCGCCATCGGTGATGAGTCATCATTCCGAGATTCAGAGCAGTACTCGCTACATTATTAATATATAATTAATATTAATTAATTATTATATAAATTCTATTTTATAAATACAAAATTAAGTAATTAAAGCTTTACTTTTAATTGTATAGTTTTCTAAATATGGCCAATCATTGTATACTACTGGCCAACAACTGTACTATTTACCCCAACCAAAAACTTTTTCTCAACGGTAAGAATGTTTTTAATGACTAACCTCCCATAATAGTCATAATAAAAATGGTTTCCCACTGATTTTCGACATCATGTCCCAACCCTATTGTATTTTTAGAAACTGCCTATTTCTTTACCATCCAAGACACAACCACAAGCCAACCTAATTTTCCATTATAACTCTACAATAAACTCAACATTGACGCAATATATTAAGCTGCTCCATTTCTTTGCAGTCCTTACATTTTTTTGGTCATTAAATTTTATATATTTTTTTTCAATTTAGTATTTGAGCACTACAGGATTCTTAAAAAAACAATTGTATTTTTAGAAACAGCACGCTTCTTTACCATCCATGACATCCACAAGCCAACCTAGCAGTTTATTAAGCCTAGGTTCTCATAGGCAACCAATGATAACAATTAAGCCAAGGCAAATATTCCAAACCCTAAATAGTACTGTGGAAATACCAACCAGTACTTTTATTTTACCGCCAAGGGATGATGCTGCTGAATTTGATGATTCTGGAGATACACACAATATTCAGGATGATCCAAAGTAATATTTTTAAAGAAAAAAATATTTTCTTAATGTTTATTTTTAGGTTGGTTAAATGGAGGAAATCAAACAAAGCTTTTATTAGACTGTCTGTTACTCCTCAAGAAGGTCTAGAGTTAAAAACTGAAATTGTTTGTGGTTTTGCAATGAAACATCTTTACACGAACACAATTTTTACCCAACAACCGCAAAAGTATGAACATAAAGTTAAAGTTTTTCTTACACTAGGAAATCTTGTTGGCTCTGAATAAATATTTTTTTAAATTTTAATTCACAGGTTATAATTTAATTTATGGCAGAAATATTTTTAACTAACAAATAACTTACAATTAATAAAATATGTACATTTAACATTGTGATTATTGCTTGTTTTATTAAATAAACTACTGAACACACGTTTTATTTATATATTTTTCCCTCAAAAAAAAATGGAGAATGAAATAAAATAACTAGTATATACTTCAGCAAAGTAAAATTTTATTGAGAGATGTTGTATCAATGTTAAAGTCATAAAAAACAAATAAATTTACAAACGTCTACCACGACGACCTCCCTTCCTGCGGGTGGAATCTGATGGAATGGGAGTAACATCTTCAATGCGTCCAATTTTCATGTTTGAACGAGCCAAAGCCCTAAGTGCACTTTGGGCTCCAGGTCCTGGGGTCTTGGTTTTGTTTCCACCAGTAGCCCTCAGTTTGATGTGAAGAGCAGTGATACCCAAAGTTTTGCATTTTTCTGCTACATCCTAAAAAAAATATATGAATAATTTTACTATTTCACAGCGTTGCCACGAATTAATTAAACGATTTTTTAAAATAAACTCGAATAGTTAATTTAAACTTTTACTTCCAACTTTAATTTTATGCACAGGGAAACAGGTAAAAAAGCTTTGCCTTTAATTTATACAATTTAGATTAACATTTGCTAGGTATTAAACTACTTTCGGAAAATTAAATAAACCACAGAAAAACAAAGAGTTATATTAATATTTTCCGGGTGTTATAAAATAATTATACCTAAAAAAAAATTCACAATCCTTAAAATGGATTATTTATTTAAGTTATTTTGACCTATTAATCAATTTAAAGAAATATTTTTTAGTTTTTTGCTTAGCGCTGCAGCGTTGGTAACTACTTTTAAATAGCGGCTCTTTTAAACTGCTACTGAGATTGCGATTTTAATTGTGCTTTTTTAAACTGTTAACGCGATCGCAACTGTTAATAATTATACAATTATAATTGTTGAAACTGTTGAAGCAGATTTACTGTGTTTATTAATTAATACTTAAGTAGCATACATATTATTGATAAATAAACTATGATTTCGCGATTCGAAAAATAGCAGTTTTCGCCAATAACTGACATTTTTGAGTAGCAGCAATATTTTTCTAATCACTAGTGTTAATTAAGTTGAAACCATTTGGAGAACTTTTTTTTATTGGTTTTATAAAGATTTATTCTTGATAAAAAGTTCTGCGTGGCCTAAATCTTAAAATAAAATAATCAAATATCAATTTTTTGCAGTTTTATAAAAGGTTTGTCAAAAAATATAATTTTTGACGAACCTCGTATATGACTGCAAAAAATTGATATCTGATTCATTTTGGGGTTTAGGCCATGCAGAACTTTTAATCAAGAATAACTTTTTATAAACCCAATATGGTTCCAACTTCAGAAGACACATACATATGGATAATGCTTATCATAAAGGCCAAAAACTTTTTCTGGCCTTGGTAAAATTATTTTTAATAATGCTCAAAAGGTTGATGAACATTTTGAACTTTTCTCAAAAGGATTGAGAAGGTTCCCAAACCATTATTAATTTTTTTAGCTGCATTAAAAATGAGTTATTTTGCAAATAATTTTGTTTACCCCAGAAAAACTTTTTGGCGCTTGGTTCCTTTTTGATAAGCCTTCCAATTATAATAAATAACTATTCACTATAGAGTTTATGTTTTATCAGCAAATGAAGAATGGACAAAAATTAATTTTTAGAAAAATGTCACAGGGTTAAAGCCATCAATATACAAAATTAAAAGGGCTACTTTTTATTTTTGATTTATAGGAAATTATTTAAAATAATTTATTTTTCTTTCCTGTGCAAAGATCACAGAGAAAGCAATTGTTTTATTAATTATTTTTAATAAACTGTTAAAATCCTCATTATTCACACTTCTGAATGCAAAAAAATTACATGGCCTTACAAGTTACAGTAGTTATATTTCTGTAAGAAAGAATAACAAAAATAACATTTTATAAATACTTAAAGCTGGAGTTTCTTTTTTGTAAAAGTGATTTATTTAATTTAATTTACAAAACACTTGAGATCATATAAATTACAGACTGTGGTTGACTGAATGATAATTATTTTACTTTTAAGCATAATACAAAGATTTTGAGCACAAAACAATATAAGTTATCTCGATAATGATCTTAAATTTTAAGCACAAAACAATATAACTAACCTTTAAACATTCAATGGCAAATTTTGTTGTTGTAAACAAGGTTGGTATTACACCACACAAGTGCAGATTCATTTTCAAAATACTTAATTTAAGAAAAGTTAAGTTGGCCAACTTTACCTTACATTATGTTACATTATATGCTGGCTAAACGGCTAAACTGGCTATCTTTTAAATTAAAATATGTTACATTATATTACTTTAAATGCTGGCTAAATAGAATTTTAATTTGAAAATGACAAAATTTAAAAAAACATTTTTTTACAAATTGCTTTAATTTATAAAAGGTCAATCCGTTAACCATATATTCCTTGAGTTAAAACAATAAGACTTTCATTTTTCAATTTAGAGCTTCATGTTCGATATACAGGGCGACAAAGTTTAAAATTAAAAACCGATTTTTTTTAATAATTCGAGTAATTGATAAGATACTAAGTTTAAATTCGGTACACTACTTCAACATAAATAGTTACATTTTTTGAGACCAACAAAACAAAAAACAATTGTCAAATAATCAAAATAGGGGGGTCCAGTACTCACTGACTCCCCCTATTTTTTAGTACGTGCGCCAATGACTTCCAAACGGAATTTTTTCAGGTAATCGTTTATTGTTGAAAATGTTTTGTCTCTTATAAAATTTTGATAAAATGATTTGTTTTAGAGATAATTTGTAAAGTATGGGTCAGTCCATATCAAATTTTCAAAATTTAATTTTTTTTTGAAAAAATGTAGGTCATGTGATATATCATAAAAAAGTTCTCTAATAGGCCTTTAAAATAAGCCATCACTCACCTTTCTACTTTTAATAGTTTACGAGATATCGCTATTTTTGTAAGTACTTGCAAGACCCAAATTTATCGGAATTTTTTGATTTTCAAAAATCAATAAAACAAAAATTACCTATCGAAAAAAATTCATATATGAGATTTTTGAGTTTTTTAGTGAGGTAAACAAATTTACCAAAAATGATCAAAATCAGAGATGGTGGGGGAAGAACATTTGGTTGATTTGATATGGACTGACCCATACTTTACAAATTATCTCTAAAACAAATCATTTTATCAAAATTTTATAAGAGACAAATTTTTTTTAACAATAAATGATTACCTGAAAAAAATCCGTTTGGAAGTCATTGGCGCACATACTAAAAAATAGGGGGAGTCAGTGAGTACTGGACCCCCCTATTTTGATTATTATACAATTGTTTTTTGTTTTGTTGGTCTCAAAAAATGTAACTATTTATGTTAAAGTAGTGTACCGAATTTAAACTTAGTATCTTATCAATTACTCGAATTATAAAAAAAATCAGTTTTAAATTTCAAACTTTGTCGCCCTGTATATCGAACATGAAGCTCTAAATTGAAAAATGTTATTATGAAAGTCTTATTGTTTTAACTCAAGGAATATATGGTTAACGGATTGACCTCTTTTTCCCGGACACCCTGTATATCTCAAAGGTACAATAATAATGTACCTATTACATTGTAGATACATATTGAATATATTAAATCATCCCCAAATATGGTATATAGCATTATTATTGTTTTTAAATACTATTATTATATTACTTTAAAAATGGAGTACCAAAAAGTAGGTAATTTGTGAAAAATTAAGAGCAAAAAACTTACTTGGGCAGCCAACATGGCAGCATAGGGAGAAGCTTCATCTCTGTCGGCTTTTACTTTCATACCTCCAGTAACTCTGGAGATGGTTTCCCTACCAGACAAGTCAGTTACATGTACAAAAGTGTCATTGAAACTTGCGAAGATGTGTGCTACTCCAAATACAATTTCGCCTTCGCGAACTTGGGGTCCGAGTGAAACTTGCACTTCTTCTTTTTGTACCTTTCCTTTACGAGGAGCCATTTTGATCTAAAATAAAGACAAACTTAAATATCAAGACTATAAAGGGCAAATACTGGGTTGTCAACAATAACCTAAAAACTGCAATATTTTTTACATCCATAAACATCAGCCTATTTTATGAATATTACAAACAAAGTACTACATAATATAATATTTAAATGTGTAAATTAATGTCCGGAATATGTATTTTTGCATTTTACCTGGTTAAAGCTATATTATTGAATAAATAAGCAAAGAACGAGCACTTACAATGTGTCAATCCGCCTGAAGAACGACTAAAGAGGGCGCTGAAACGTCAACCGGATAAAAATGAAAAATCCCCATAGTTGATTTCAATTACAGGAATCTGTTTTTAGCGCGAAATTTAAACCTATATAATGGATGTTTAAATTAAATATTAAATTATAACTATACAAGGAACATATTATACAGTCTTTATGTTGCTTTTACTCGCTAACTGAAATTTTGGCATGGCATATAATACATTGTTTTTGTGTTGGGGAATATTTATTATATTTGTTTAAGAAAAATGATCACAAAGGCTGTGCTCTTTTTTTCCCTTAAAACCACATGAGCGAAGCAGCGGGTCTACAAGTGGTATAATATTTAAATATGTGTTTATAATACCTATATAAATTATTATTATATGATATTATAATATCACCACTATTAGTAGCGTTTTCCATTCCTAAATTAAGATTATCTCGTGCTTCAGTTTTTACGGCACTGGTGCATAATATGCACTGCATATGGAACACATGGTTTTAGTGGAAAACTCTATTATTATTATAATGAATGAACGAATTAAATAAATACCATTTTATTATTATTTACGGCTATATTTTTATATGAACATTATAAAACAATATATAATATATTAATATACTTAAGTATCATATAAGATTTATCATCATAAATATACTTGAGTACCTATTTATTCTATTCTATTATTCTATTTAAAAGAAAAAATAAACTCTTATATTAGGTTTAGGTGTAGTAAAATACAATTTTATTTTATAGAGAATATATTTGAAGAAACTACACTGTTAATATATTTACAGAGACTAAAACAAAATTAGGATTTATTATTTTGGATCATGTGGAAGCTTAAACCCAACCATATTGGCGGTCTCCTGTATTGTTCTTTCTCCTTTTCCATGGAATTCTGAATGAATTTCTTCTGACAATCGGGAACTTTTCAGGTAACATAAGTAGGAATTAGCCATGAACTCCATTTCTTCTCTAGCTTTGCAAAGCTGTTGATTGGTGGTTTTGTACTTTTTAAATTGATTCAGGATGTACTCTAATGCCAAATTATTTTTTAAATGCCCTTCAGGTAGAGCATATCGCAATTCAGATATAATAGATCTTAAAGTGCTAATTTTTGAAGCCATTTTTGATCTGAAGCAACAACTGTTTATCAATTATAAAATCAACTTAAAGTAATATCCGTTAATTTTTCCCTAATAAATTCTACGTCCTCATCTGTGTATTTTGGTTCTAAAGAAACATTCCAAAAATCTTTTGTTATTAAGTTAAGTTTATTTATAGGAAATATGTGAATTGCTAAATCGTTAAATATTTCAAAATATTTAAAATTGTTAACTATAGCTAACTCAACTGTATATGGAGTTATATTAGAAATATATTGCCCAGATTTTTCTAGCTCTCGTTTTGAAGTGTTGTCAATTATTTGATTGAAACTATTTGATAAAATTATGCAATAATTTAAGTCTAATCCCCAATTACACCATAACAAGTTATTTGAAAGTTGTTTTGGACAATGAGGCAAATAAAAAAGTATATGCTTATTGTTTGCTCGATATTTACCCTCTAAATTCTGTGTTAAAACATTAGAAGCATAATGTTTTAACAAGCTAATTTCACTATTTGTAAATACAGGATCAAAAAAAGACAATTCAGCCTGCAAATTGTCTCTTAATAAAAGCACAAGAGCAAACTGATACCTTGATATAAGACACTCACCAATCCTCCCTAACCCCAAACAAATAATTTCAGATATTTTATTAGTTGATAAAATTGTTAGTCCTTCTCTCAAAGATGCCAAAACCGAATCGAAAAAATCAGTCGTTATTAATTCGCTTTTTGCGTCGTCGATCCGTCTAAAAAATAATAATAAAGAAATAATTTTGACAATTTTTCAAGTAGGCAGATATCTACAACTTAAGACCATATGGTGACAAATACCTTATTGTGGCTTCTTTGTTAAAAATTGTCGTTTGAGAAGCTTTGAATTTGGCGTTATTAGTTGTTTTTTTGTTCAATGGTCCTGTACATTTTCTTTTATAAGTAACTTTTTTAAAATCATCGTTTAGGTTAGAACTTGTTGACATGTTCCTGTCAAAATTAAAAGAATACGCAACCCATATTACAAGTTTATGTAAATATGTTGTATACCTGTTGTTATATGAATCGAATTTAAAACCTACCCGGACAACATTTGTGATATTCATACGAACATCACGTCGTGATTTTCACAAATTTTATTCATACTGATATCATACGAAATTCACCGCGTAATAAATGAAAATCATACGAACGTCACGTCGTGATTTTCACAAATTTTATTCATACGGACATCATCCGGATGTCACTGCGTGAGGAATGAAAATCATGTCGTGATTTTTTATTCCAACGGTGTTTGGATTTTATTTTTGCGCCACATTCGTACATTGAGAGAAAAAGTATACCTACATATATGTATGTATATTGAATCAACAGTTTTAATGGTTAAATATATTCATTATTTTTTTGGATTTAAATTTATAGTTAGTTTACATCCAAAAAAATATTAAATGTATTTAACCGCAAAAACTGTTAATTTAATTGATAACATACATTTTCTCACAATGTACGAATCTGGTGCAAAAATAAATATCCCATCATGTCGGTGCACCTATGGCATGATTTTCATTTCTCACGCAGTGACATCCGGATGATGTCCGTATGAATAAAATTTGTGAAAATCACGACATGATGTTCGTATGATTACCACGAATGTTGTCCGGGAATGGCTAGCTATAGTCGAGTGTGTTAAACCTTTAGGATATACCTATCAAGTACGTCTGAAGGCTTTTTTTGAATGGCCACAACAGCCTGCAGGCTGTTGTGGCCAACACTCGGCCGAGTAAACATAGCCGACATTCGGCCAGGCGGACATGCACGGAATACACGCCGGAACAAATACATGTGTCGGGCCGCACGCGGCCGATTCGGCAAAACGTATTCGGGCCGTATGCGGGCCGGCTAGCTTGTGCTTACTTGGTAAGGACGGCATGCATGCCATGGCAAATCGATTTTGACATTAACTGTCAAACCTGTGACTGTGATACCAACTATCTAAAGTTTAGAGGAATAATATTATTAAAAATATTTTTAATAAAATCTCGGCTTTTATTAAAATCTAACTGAAATAATGCATCTGCTGCTTGCGCCAATGGTAAATTTGAAAATCTGCATGTAAAATTGGATATTAAGATATCCATAATTTGGTAGTAAATATTTATTTTCAAGTGTTCTGAATGATTCGAATTTGATGATCCTGATGAAATTTCTATACCACCTAAGATATGTAAATGATAGATACATATTTCTATTGCAAATTTGGTAATACCAAAAAATTATAACAGATAAAAGTCAGCCTTTTCCTGGGGGGGGGGCAGCGATGTCTGGGGGGTGCCCGGCCCCCCTAGGCCCCCCTGTAGTTACGCCAATGGTCATTATAAACTATTATAAATTTGGTGTGGGTCCTATGGCTAACTGAGATATTGGTATACATAAAATCCACCAGCCGCCACCTAGCTACCGTAGGTATTTTAAAGGGATGCCTTTACATATCCTTTTTCTATGAATATGTATAGGAATCCCAAACTGGTATATATACCAGTATATATAGGTATACCTATTTATAAGTACAGGGTGATCCCCTATAATGTCGCCCCCCTTTAACTTTTTTATTTTAAGTGTCCCAAAAAATTTAAAAGTGTGGTTATGTAGGACCTAAAAAATACTTTTTTTCTACGTATAAAAAAAATTGGAAAATTGATCAGTATACAGGGAAAAATAAAAAGTTGATTTTTTTTCAATGGATCACCCTATATATTAATTTATTTTTCGATTCCTTGTAAAATTCTAAGCATATTTCATATATCATACCATATACCTAAATTCAACCGTTTCTGAAATATTTAAATTATTTTTAAGATAATAAGTTGAAATAGTTTGTCTTTCTCTGTCTGAGTACGCCATTTTTACTTATTTAACAACACTTATTGACATAATGTCACTATAGTAATTTATTTTCAATAAAAATTTTGGTATACTGAGGCTTCTTGATTTTTAACAGTTTAAAAAAAACATTTAATGATGACATTTCGAATGCGAATATTTAAGAAACGGTTGAGTTTAGGTATATGGTTTGTATATAAATTATGCTCAGAATTTTACAAGGAATCGAAAAATAAATTCAAATATAGGGTGATCCATTGAAAAAAAATAAACTTTTTGTTTTTCCCTGTATACTGATAAATTTTCCAATTTTCTTTATACGTCAAAAAAAAGTATTTTTTAGTTCCTACATAACCACACTTTTAAATTCTTTGGGACACTTAAAATAAAAAAGTTAAAGGGGGGCGACATTATAGGGGATCACCCTGTACCTATGTCCCTTGCGGCCTTGAGTTTACGGTGAATTCACCGTGAATACACCGTTTATGTGCAGTGAATATACCGTCCATTTGTGACATTTGTAGACGGTAATTAAACGGTGAACTCACGCTGTTTTTGCGATAAATTCACGGTGATTTCACGGTTAATTCACGGTGATTTCACGGTGAACTCAAGTTTGCAAAATCACCGCAAATTCACTGTAAAAGTACCGTAAATTTATCGTGAAATTACCGTGAATTCACCGTAAAAGCGCTGTGAGTTTACTGTGAATACACCGTAAATTGACTGTGAAAACAACGCAAATTGTAAGTGAAAGATTCGAACTATGCTAATTGGTTATTCCCAATACAATACAAATATCGCAAGAGAGCTCTCGTGTAGCTGCGCAAAATCAACGAGGTTGAGACGCCATCATAAAGAAAAAAACAACCAGTTGGACGCCATTTATTAGCGTTTTTTTATTAGTCGATTTCTGTGTTAAGCAGTTTAAGCAATACATCTCACGGCTGCTTACGCAAGCGAGCTAACTATAAATAGCGTTGGGTTGCAATATTTAATTGGAAGTGTGCGTCTGTAATGGCTTAAGCTAATTAGCTGAACATTAATTGTTTGAAGTCCCCATCTCCATCCTCATCTGCTCAGTAACGAATAATGGCTAGCTATAGTCGATTGTGTTATTATTATTGGTTTATTTACCGTGAATTCACTGTGAATTCACGGTGAATTCACCGTGAATATACCGCTAAAATACGGTGGATTCACAATTAAAATACTGTGAAAAGTGCGTGAATTCACCGTCTAACTACCGTTTACAAATGTCACAAACAGACGGTTTATTCACGGTGAATTCACGGTAAATAAACCGTAAACTCAAGGCCGCAAGGGGTGGTTAAAGGTAAGCCATTAGGATTTAAATTAAATCATTTAATACCAGGATCTAAGAATCTTACACTCAGATTTATAGTACGTAATTTTTTTTACGGTAAAGACTTTGCCAGTTAAATAAATGTTTGTAATAAAAACAAAACCTTATCCCTACCTACAGACAAAATATTGCTTAAAGATAAAGATAAAAATAATAAATAAGCCAAACTTTTATATTTAAATCCCTATACTTACATAGACAACAATAATACAGTTCAAAAACAATTCTCACACAGTTCCGATTTAGAACTTCCAAGGAGGTGTTACCATCCGGTTTATAAAAACAATCAAATCCCTAAAGAAAGTTGCTAAAGAAGTTTGTGGGAATTGTCCAACAGCAAAGATTTATTTAACGTTCTTGTAACTTATCGGCTTTGTCTTTCCATGCGTGCTTAGAGCATAGAAGAATAGTTGTGGTGGGAGTATTGTGTGAGAGATTTCAAGAACCAAAGAAACGACCGCGGGACCCGTCTGGAAGTGGGATTGTAGGACGAAGGCAAGCAAGAGCGTGCTTTCAACTGTTGAATTCCAATACCAGTCAGCAGTCGCGTATCGTGCTTAACTTTTCGTCCGGTGCATCGAGTGCAGTGTTTACCTGTATATTTGTAACTATTTATTTACTGACGTTTAAAATCTAATAGGATATAATAAAATTTTCAACGATTGTTTTCACTTAAGGTAAGTGGTGCAATTGTTTATTTTGTTTTTATTGGATTATAAAACTGACCTATCTCAAGATAAATCTGTTGTTTTATGTCTATCACATGTTTTGTGATTTATGGTAATTACTTGTAAAGAAATCGTTTATGATAGATATAGATATACCTAGGTGGTAGGAATAGAACAATATTATACCTACCTATATATATATATATATATACCTTCCTATTTTTGGGTACAATTTTAAGTTTTTTATCTGGGAAATGAGGATTAAGTTTAGACATGTCAAATTTTTGTAGGTATACCTATCTATAGGTACTCAGAGGCAGGGGCTTAAAGGGGGCTCGAAATTTGTGCCAGGGGCGGCAAATTTATACCATACAACTCAATTCTTTTTAAAAACGTACCATTCAAATATTTTATATACCTAGGTAAATAGAAAATAACCAAGGCATGAAAAAAATGAAAGAAATTAGTGGCCGACCGAAACACGGTTTTAGCCTAAACCGAAACTTATGTAATTTTAAGTTAAAATTTCAGTATAGGTACTAGGGGTATTAATACCGAGCCCTTTTTCCAATCCCGGGACTTTCGGTACCAAAGGAAACTGATCCCGGGATGCCGGGATCAGTACCGACAATGTATATACCTACCTACACACATGTCCAAAAGTTTGGAATACTTACAAATAATATATCTACGCCTATGGTAGTTTAAAAAAACTGTTGTTAATATTTACTCTATTTTCTCTGTCTTTGAGGTTTATTTATTATTGGTCGGAGTCGTTATAAAATGGTATTTACCTATATAAAAAAATATATATATAAATATCAATGAAAAAAGAAATATTGCAATATTCCAAACTTTTGGACATATGTGTATATGTAGGTATATCATTAATTTTCCAACCAATTTAAAATAAAGGAACAAACAAACTAACGAACGATATCTTTCGGACTTTACACTAGTTGGAGGAATGGTTTTCAAAAATTCGTAGGCACATTGCACCCACGTTTACCCCCATTAACAAATAATTCCATTTCTTTTATCAGTCGGGCCTTGGTGAGTTCCAATTGGGGCTCTAACTTACATTGAAATTATCGAGTTTGACATTTTTTCAGGTTTGACGTTTGAAATATGTTATATTATAGGTTATGTACAAGAATTTATTCTACAGTGACCTGTAATTTTACATTTTCTTTGCTGATTTTATGCATTGAATTTAATGGCAAGAGTGGTTTTATCTATCGCGTTTAGCATAAAATCAGCAATGAAAATGTAAAATTACAGGTCACTGTAGAATAAATTCTTGTACATAACCCGAGGGGTCACCCACACCTGGGAATCCCTGGACATTGTAGAGTGGGAATACCATAGGAATACAATGGAAATACATACCCAGATAGCACAAAGAAGTACTAAAAACGTCCTGAGTATATCTTGTATCAGACATTAGTAAGTTCCGAGTACGTCCGAATCAGGTCCTGAACCTTCCCCAGGACGTTCCAGGGACATCCGATGTTACCAAATCGTCGGTCCCCAGAACGTCCTAAGAAAGACATCCTCTGGCCATCCTGAAATGCTTTATTGGGGACTAATGGACAAGCTTTACAGAATTGAAGAGTGGTATTCCCAAAGGCCCAGACAGCAATATGACGTCTTAATTAAGACTTATTTTATTAATTTGTTAAATGGATTTTATTAAAATCATTTTAATAATTTGTTCGTATTCGCTTATTTTAGGAATTGCGATTACTTCGTCTCACTTTTGTTTAAATTTAAAGCGTGCTCTTCACCGGCACCGATAGACGGCCTGTTACCCTCTTTTGGAGCTCGTCAGTATCGGGTAGCCGTTTACCTAGGTCCAAGACCGTTTGGTATGAAGCACGTTCTAAATTCTACTTCGCCCCTTCTTATATCAAACACAAGCAGTTACAGCGGTGAGAAGAAAGAATCGCATTAAAATGTCATAAATGTGACGTCTCCATGATGACGTCTTAAAAAGTTAATAATATGTACAAAAAAACTCATACAGCTATATTGTGGCTGTGTGAATAAAACTTTTCCGTCAATGTCAAGCTGACATCGAGCTTTGTCACATCCATTATGACTTTTTTAACATTTTTAACCAAACAATGCATAAGAACTCTGGCAAGCCATTGAAGCCATTGAAGCCATTTGGAACGAGATAAAGCAAGACGGCGACTTCCATGCTTTGCCGTTTGCGGGCAGTAATTGACAAGAACAGAGGGATGACGAAATATTAATTTTTTTTTCAAACTTCAACCTAACTTTGTATTTAATTTTAGACCTTTCAAATGTGACGTATCATGTTAAAAGCCATAATTACTCCAACGAAATGATGAAAATCAGGAACACTAGATTTTTAAGCTGTATGAGTTTTTTTGTTAGCGATAGTACGTCCTTGGGACGTACCCAGTATATCCGCTATAATTTTCCCAAATAAGTAAGAGACTGGACGTACCCAAAACTTCCGATATAGGTCTAGGACGTTCGGACCTATGTGGGACCCGAAATGGACGTCCTGGGTACCTCTTGTGCTATCTGGGTAGGAATACAGTAAAATATAATGGGAATACATGTGAATCCCTGGACGTTTTCCCTTTGGGTGGTTGACCCTTCGACATAACTTATAACATAATTCAAACGTCAAACATGAAAAAATGTCAAACTTGATAATTATTGTTAATTAACACACCTAATATAACGATTGAAACATAACGATTATACTCGTATATAATATATTAATAATGTAATAATTTGATTATTTCAACAACCATCAGATACCTATTTCAACTGCTTATTCATTGTTTATTTTTAAGTTTGGGGAAGTTATGCAATTATTATAATGTTTTGTCGTTTGGTGAATCAATGGTTTTGTTGCAAATTAAATTGTCTTTAAAATATATACAAGGCTGTCCCATTTAAAAAATGGTATTTTTGTGAATATTAGGGAAACCCCGCATTCAATTGTTTTTTGTTTTCACCATTTAAATCAGAAGAAAAAATGCTACCAATTTGCCAATTTAACCGACTTTGTAGCTCCAATAATAACGGAGTAAAAATGGTAGCAATGGTAAGAAAATAACTATGTACATAATTTTAGAAATTCGACATTTATACTTAGTTAGAGTAATAAAATATAACAATTAAGACGAGAGATCCAAATATTATATTATACGTATACCTACCTAGTATTTGAATTATTTTTAATGCTTCTTAACTTTTTTAAATTTTGTGCAATATCTGTTTAAAATTGGTCAGAATTTTGTTGTAAATTTTAGATGCTCCTTTCCCAATATCACAGGTTGTCACAAAGTCTTGACTCCCCAAAAGCCAAAAATAGCGGAAATTATTTAATTATTTTTTTAAAACTGGTTAAAATGTATGATTTTTAGTATAAAAAATGATAAATTTTATCCAATTTTGTATAAATAAATCATAAATACCTAATTAAAAGTTGTATCAAATTAAAATGTCTACCTAATGATTAAACTTTCATCCTTTAAGGATAAAATCAACTTTCAAAAATCTAAATCGATTTACAAACCCTTATATTTTAAGCAATTAATTGTATGACTAATTCGTCTACAAAACATTAAAATAGATGGAAAACTCAATACTTCCTTATCTAGAAATAATAAATAGGGGAATTATCCGGAATTATCCTTATATTTGCAAATTTATAATTACAACAAATGGCGCTTGGCATTTTATTAAATTTGGAATTTGCATGTAATTGTACTTTGCAACAATTGTCTTAAAAAAAAAACAGTGGCGTAACTATATCTCTGCTAGCCCCGCGGTAATATGTGTCCCGTTGATACTGGGGGGCCGTTCTGGGCCCCGGCCGACCGGTTGGGCTTTAGAGGAAAAAACTCAAAAACCCCCTTTCATGATTTATACAGATTTAGACATAATTATTAATAAACAAGATTAAAATGTATTTATATTGTTTTATTAAGTTGACGAGCATGTTGTGCGTCCATACATAATATTATGTACTACGATTACCGTAATTTCTATTAAAAAAATCATTGAGCCGGAGCGCGTCCCCAAAGAAATATGTTTCAGGTTTTAATTATTATAAGTTCATCATGCCTTGTTCTAAAGTTGGGGGGGGGGCAAAATTTTAAGTTACACCACTGCAATGAACAATCTAATTTAATTATTTAAATTAAGTAACTTTGAAATAATGTACATACAAGAGTGTTTGTTATAAATTTGTCAATTTATGAATAAAAAAAATTACATTTAAAATTGTCCAGTCAAAGAGAAACGCATTGTAAATATAAACACCACAAATGCATTCGCATGTATGCCTACTATACAAGGTCATTGGACTTTTGCAGAACAATACAGTAAAAAAATTTAAATACCTTCGCATTTTATAAATTTCAGCTTAAAATCTACCCACATAAAGTTTCGAAAATACGTAAATTGATTGTTAGCACCTAGAATAGGTACTTATGCAGAAAAAAACTCAATATAAACGAGTTTTAACGATTAAAAATAAGTAATAATTATTAATAAAATAATAAATATAATAATTATATATATTAATAAATTATAATTTGTTTAACTTAATGTTTGTAAACATTTACCAACTTAACATTAAATATTAAAAGAAATTTGCTTTTATTATTTTCTTAATTATACCTATCTAGGTATAGGTATTTTATGTGAAGAAACATTTCTTTAAATTAATTCGTGAAAATAAAACAAAGTAGTTTTATGTTCTTTTTATAGGACATCCAAATATTTATCTAATTTTATGATAAATAACAAAGCTATATTTATTTGTTGTGAAATATATTTATTGGTATAAAAACTTTGATACTAATACCAAAAAACTACCTATAGGTAGGTATCCCTTTATACTTTTCTAGTATACTAGAAAGGTATCCCTTTATACTTTTCTAGTATACTAGAAAGGTATCCCTTTATACTTTTCTAGTATACTAGAAAGGCATCCCTTTATACTTTTCTAGTATACC